GCTGCGGGTCAGGAGAGAGGGGCACCAGCGGGGCAGGGGGGGTCAGGAGATCGGGAGCACAGGGGTCTCACCTTGGGGGATCTGGGTGGCGAGGGGGGATGAGATGGTGACGAAGTGCAGGTCGCGGGAGCCGTAGTGCACGGGCATCTGCCGGCCCTTGCCGGGGTCGCCGGCGTGGCCGTAGCACTGCGCCATGAAGAGGTCCAGCGGGTACCCCCGGTACATCAGCACCCCTGGGGCACGGCGCCGCGTCAGGGGGCACCGTCGTCGGCCCCCGCCTCGAGGGGCTGGGGGCAGCCCCCCCGGGGGGGGGGGGTCACAACAGGGCTTTACCTGCCTCGCGGTACTGCCCGACCCTTGCCGGGGTCGCCGGCGTGGCCGTAGCACTGCGCCATGAAGAGGTCCAGCGGGTACCCCCGGTACATCAGCACCCCTGGGGCACGGCGCCGCGTCAGGGGGCACCGTCGTCGGCCCCCGCCTCGAGGGGCTGGGGGCAGCCCCCCCGGGGGGGGGGGGTCACAACAGGGCTTTACCTGCCTCGCGGTACTGCCCGAAGACCAGGTCGGTGGGGTCGAGCGCGGCGGCGCTGCCCACGTGGGTGCCCTCCTCCCCGTAGTTAGTCATGTAGAAGGAGATGCGGCCCTGGCAGGGGGGAAACCGAGGCAGGTGGAGCCGGGAGCCCAGGTGCCCAGCCCCCCCACAAGGGACCCGGGCGTCCGGGCGCGCCCCACCTGGCGCTGGGACTCGTACAGGATGCGGTCCATGGTGTTGAGCAGCGTCATGGTCTTGTAGAGCTTCAGCACGGTCTCGGCGGGCAGCTGCGGGCACGGGGGGCGGGGTCAGTGCGGGTGGGCGGCGCCCCGCATCCGTGACCCCGGGGGGTCGCGCCCCCTCACCTGGGGGTCCTGGCTGGGGTTGAGGATCTGGCCCTGGCGGTCCATGACGCGGTAGACGGGGATGCCGGCCAGCACGTTGGGCTGGATGAAGTCCAGCGTGTCCACGAAGGCGGCCGAGGCGCCGGGGAACTGGGGGCGCTCCGCCGGCGACGGGAACTCCTCCTGCTGCCCCGCGGCATGCTGGGAAGGGGCGCCGTTACCCACCAGGCCCCGCGGTGCCCCCCCCAGATGGTGTCACGGGCCCCCCGAGCTGTGCGGGGCGTGGGGGGGGCTCTGCCCTTCATCTACCCCCTGGGGGGGCTGGTGTTTGGGGTGGTCCCTGTGCCCCCCCCCCCGTGGCCCCGCCGGGGCCAGGGTGCCCTTGGGTGGGGCAGTGGGGGCAATGGCAAGGCCGGGGGGGGGGGCGAGCTGGGGGAGGGGGGCACGCCCCCGGTGCGGACCAATCAGTGGCCGAGGCTGGGGGGGTGTTTGCCACCTGCCCCAGAATGGGAGGCTGATACCCCCTCTGAGCTGCTGGGGGGGCTAAAGCCAGCTCTGCCCCACCCCCAAAACAGGGTGGGGGGTAACTGCTGGGGGGGGCAAAGCCCTTCCCGCCCCCCAGGAGAACCCCTGCCCCACCCCGCTGTGGG